TTTTTTTTTTTTTTTTAGATAGGGTCTCTATAATAGTTCAATAGTTCTGGCGCTGTACAAGTCCTGGGATTATAGGTACGTGCCATTATATCCAGCTCTACAAAATTAGGTTTTAAAACCATCTATGCTATCAAGAACCTTTATCCCAGCACTCAGGAGTCTGAGGCAGGAGGATGGTTGTGAGTTCGAGACCAGCCTGGGCTACAAAGTGAGCTCAAGGCCAGCCTGAACTGCATAGGGAGAACCTATTTATAAAGTAAAATAAAATTGGCAAACAGTAAAAAAAAAAAAAAGAACCTTTGTTTCCTTCTACACTACTAGTGTGCAAAACGTGTAGAAGACACGTCTAATTTGCAGCAGGTAGAAATTCATTTGGGTAGACTGTTCATCAATAAAGTTACCAATGCTTACAGTACATCTTAATGTGTAATTGAAGGTTTTTAGGACATAGGCTCTCACTGTGTTGCTCTGACGACCGTGAACTCCTGGCGCTGGTGGGCCTCGCCTCAGGCTTCACAGTAACTGGAACTGTGTAAGTCTTGTGTTGCCATCACCAGTGCCACTGTCCCGTTATTTTTTGCTCTACTCCATTTAAAATTAGGTAATTTAAAAGTACCTGTTTAGCCAGGTATGGTAGTTCATGACTCTAATCCCAGCACCCTCGGAGCTGAGGCAGGTGGATCAAAAGTTGAAGCCAGTCCAGATAATTTAGCAAGATCCTGTGTTCAAATAAAAATCCCAAGCAACCGTAAATAAATAAATAAGTAAATAAATAGGTCTGGGGATGTTCTTTGGGAAGACCTTGGATTTAATTTCTAGTACCCGGAAGGAGGGAGTATCCCTTTGAAAACCTGGTGTTCCTTGGTGTCAAATATTATATGTTGACATTTGCCTGTAGTACTTAGGTATTTGATTGCCATGAAATTCTACCTAGGAAATTTGAGGTCCCCTCTTCAGAATGACGTGTTATGTTGTGGTGTTTTACCAACTTCCGTTTCCATCCCACTAGGCTAGCACCGATGCAGGCACCGCAGGAGCCCTGACTCCACAGCACGTTCGAGCTCATTCCTCTCCAGCATCCCTGCAGCTGGGAGCAGTTTCTCCTGCTGGGACGCTGACCCCCGCTGCAGTGGTCTCTGGCCCAGCAGCTGCTCCTGCTGCCCAGCACCTGCGCCAGTCTTCCTTTGAGATACCTGATGACGTTCCTCTGCCAGCAGGCTGGGAGATGGCCAAGACATCTTCTGGTCAGAGATACTTCTTAAAGTAAGTGAAAATAACTATGGGAGCTCATTGTCTAAGGACGTGTGTGTTGAAACACTGACGTGGCAGTATTTACAATACTATTTGCTGTTATATTTAGTATTTTGCTCAAACCCAAATATCTTCCCTGATTTGTTTTTTTAGTTTGCTATCAGTGCCCAGAACCTAAAGACCTTTATTAATGAGGGCTGTAACTTAGTTCAAATCTTTTCCCCATCTTCTGTGGCAGTTTATCCTATTTGAAGTTTATGCCACCTCTGTTAATTAGTACAACACAGAAGTGTTCAGAAATGTTCAGATTCTAAGAATTTTAGGACTGGAATAGTCATATAAAATGTGTGGTACTACTGAGGTCATTTTCTTTTCTTGGAGCTGGGCCTCATACTAACCACACACTGTACTACTGAGCCGAATCTCCAGCCCTCATACATCTTTTTTGTTTGGTTTTTGTTTTTGTTTTCTTGAGACAGGGTCTCACTGTGTAGTTCAGGCTGGCTTTGAACTCAGTATGTAACCCAGGCTGGCCTCAAACTTGTGGCGATCCTCTTGCCTTCGCCTCCTGAGTGCTGGGATTATAGGCAGCTCCACCGTGTCCTGCTTTCCCCATATATCTTTTGAAATGTCTTATGGTAGAGAATTACAAAAAAGTAGGACTTCTAGTGAAATACAGTATTTTAAATTGTGAGATGAGCATGTTAGCTACAGTTTGATGTGATTAAGTTTTTTTCAAAAGTAATGAAGAATACAAATTTTTAGGTTGGATTTACCGCTTAGTGGTAAATATCTTTCAGGCTGTCAGGTCTTCAAAACAGAACACTGTTGGATTGTTTTATTTGTTTTTTATCTTTAACAAAATGACATTAACTCAAAAAAAAACTAAATACAAATTTATCTCCTTCATTTAAAAAGAAAAAAAATGGGCCGGCCAGATAGCAGAGTAAAGTGCCTGCTTAGGCAGGGTGCAGTGGCAGGGGTTCAATCCCTGGCATGTCCGTGCCAGCCTCACCCATGCGGAGCGCTGAGACAGTGATGGAGACTGGGCACGGTTGTGCACCTGTAATCCTAGTGCTTGGGGGGCTGAAAACAGGAGGATCATTGAGTCCGATCTACGTAGTGAGACTCGTGTACGCCTGTACTAAATAAAAAATTACCCTTTTTACTTTTGAAATTGTAGCTAGGCCCTTAATTTTATGTGGCTTGTTTATATAAATTATACAATATACTGTGTCTAAAACTAGTTGTTGTAGACAAACAAAATTCTTCTTTAAATCCTTAAGCAAGTTGAGATACTAACATGGAGAGCAACCCCTGCTTTGATCTAGATTTATAGGCACAGTCTAGTCTTAAGAGGAATGTAACATCAGTGACACTTTGTTGTGTATCTTCATGTGTGTCTCATAATGGCTGTCTTTCAGGGTGGGTTCCTACTTTGTGACAAGTCTATATAGAAAAGCAGAAAAAGAGATTTTTGCCTCTTTCCTTAGCTTTTCCTCCTTTCAGACTTTGTTTTCTGGTGCTGTGGTGTCCATTTCAGAGTCGGGTTTCAGCCAGAGCCAGGAAAGTACACACAGTCTGGCAAGCTCATCTGCATGCGCGAGATTGCCTGTTCTCCCCAGACATCCAGAGTAAATGATTGAAGGCGCAGCTAGCCGTGAGGGATGTGTCTTGAGGGGAAAAGGAGTGGAAACAGACCAGGTTATTAGGACAAAAAAGAGAGGCTGTGCTTTCTTGAACCTCTCCCTGCTGGGTCACATGCTGACCAGGGAAGATTTTTTTAAACAGCTTAATAGCCAGCTTGCCTTCTTTTCTTTGGTTGATGGTGTGGCCAAAAGTCAGAGTACAGTTCAGGTTTTTGTTGTATCTTGTAGATTGCAAAGGCCTGAGTTTTTGTTATTTTGGGTGATCTTTTTTTTAGGGTGAAATAAACATTTTGTATTTGCTTCTAAAACTTTTCAGTGCTGCTTCTTTTGAGGACAACTATTATTGTTAAACATTGATATAAGAATGGGTTAAAGAAAGGGCCATACACTTTCCCCATTCAGTCCTTTCCCCCATGTCCAGGGGCCCTGTGAAGGTAAAGTGGGCCATGTGAGACTTAGCCCCACGAGAAGGAGGGTTGCAGGAGTAGGGAGGGCTGTGAGAGGAGCCAGGACGCATCTTCCAGTGTGATTGAGGTGCTCTTGTCCGGAAGTGAGGTTAGACTTGTTATGGTATAAACAAGAATTTTGGTTCTATAGAACTTTTTCTTGTGTGCTTCTCACAAAAGAAAGCTTTCTTTGAAAGGTAATTGGTGAGTAAAAGCTGATGAGATGGATTCCTGGGTACCTGTCAGATTCCTGTATACAGAGAGCTTCTAAGCAATGTATGTGAAAGGTGGGTGTTGAGGATTACAGAATTTCGTGTTCTTCTGAAGAGTATCTGCTCTGTGAATCATTTACAATTTGCAGCTGGACATGCATGCTAAGAGAGGAGGATTGCCACAAGTTTGAGCCCATCCTGAACTACGCTGTGAGACCGCTTTAACGGGGAAAAAAATGTAATTTGGAGAAATGTTATGAAGTGAGCTTAGTTCAGCTTCTCCAGTACTCAGTTACAGTTTCTTTTCAGAAACAGTTTAGTTGTCTTTGTGCACTCAACAGATAAATTAGTATGTCTTGACTGTGAGTCCAGGACGGCAGAGTAAGCTTCTGGTGCCCTGTTGGTGCTGCTGAAGTATGTTTTCATCTTTGTTTGAACTTGGCTTCTTCCTGTTTTGGCTTCCCAGAGTGCTGGGATTACATTGCGCATCATCATAGCCAGTTCATAATTTCATTCATTCATTTATTTTTGAGTTCTCACTATGTAGTCCAGTCTGGCCTTGAATACTGTGTACCCTATGTTGACCCCCAACTTGGAATCCTCTTGTCTTAGTCTCCCAAGTGCTGAGGTTATAGGTATATGCCACTGTGCCTGGATTTTTCACTGTTGGTATTTTTAAAGCTCTTCATATATCAGTGAGGTGTTTTGGAGAAGACTGTACCTTATCCTGGCCATTGATGTTGTCAGAGTATTGTATAAACACATTGACCAACAGTACATAGTCAAGCTCTGAGAAGGTTGTGAGGAATATGAAAAGGGTGGTCTTAGGATATTACACATAGTATCTTTATTACTGAACTTACTGTTTTGGGGTGCTTTTGTTGTTTTGACATG